TGCAGATTTGGAATGATTTTGTACCATGTCTCTTGATTCATTTCCCTATCTCCATTTAAACAGTACTAATTGTCTCAAGATAAATTGCTGGGCAAATATGAATACATATGCTTTTACTTATCTGTGAAAGATGCATTTAAAGAGCCACAGTGGGCAGTTGAAATCATAGCCATTACTGAACCATAAGTATTCTGTGTTATTTCATCACACGCATACCTGTGACAGAACTGAATTTATGAGTTAAGAACAGAAAGAGATTCGCAGTACTGATTAATGAAGAGAGTGATAATTATAATAATAGCAGTCTTTGATAGCAATTTATTTGATATTCCCTTCCCAGAATGTCATAGTGCACCCTCCGTATGGCTATGACTGGAGGTGACACATGCCTACAGGAAAAGGTGAGGTGAAATGAAGGATTCGGGCCGTGTGATACATGCATACAGAGAACTTAAAAAAAGAACATCATGATATTGTGACTGCAGGTCACTTACCTGAGGTGGCTACTAAGTGCTGGAAGCCTGGGTAGGGTTACTGACATGGGATACACTAGAGGAAGGGATAGTTCACTTTCTGATGGAGATGCAGCAGGGCAGCGGGAACTTCCATGATGATTCTTAGAAAGGTGTGTACATTAAAAGTAATTCTGGAATATTCCTTCTAATACTTTCCGACTACTGTGAACAACAGTAACAGAAACTACAGAAAGCCAGTGGGATATGGTCATATGTAAAGCCTGCCTTTACATAGACTTTAATTCCTTAAAAATCTCACCCCATCTGGGAGATTTTTTTCCCTTTGAATTCCCTAAAATATATTTTCAAATAACTATAATTTGAATACTTATATGTATTTTTTTGTCATGCATGCTTTCTCCAAGTCTGATAATAGTAATAACCTACATTTTTAGGATATAATTGTACATGACATAATTTTCAAAATGTATGTGCTTTAAAGTAATTTTTAAATTTTTATTTTAGCCCAATTTATTTGATTTCTTGCGTTAAGAATATTTTATTTGGCGTTAAGAATATTTTATTTGGCCTCTAATTTCACATAAATTTGAGTGTGAAAATAAACAAATAATATTTCATACCATGTTTTCTTCATGATAATTCAGTTACAAAGTTGAAAAGTTTTTGAAGGGCTTTGAAGTAGAAGAACCTACTGAACTTTTGTAGTGTTTTTACAATTGTATATGGTCTTTTCCCTATGGAAATATATGAAGTTGTTGAGAAAATCATTTGGAAAGCATATAGAAATTCATGTGCAAATTTTCATATTATATATCTGTTATTATAGTATATGAAAAATTTATAAAACTAGAATGCAACATCAAAGTGTACCTTGCTGAGGAACTAAATACTTAGTCTTTAAATACTCATCACAAACAGGGGTATTACATCATGTACTTAGAATATAATTTTTCTTTGCTTTCTGGAAGAAAAATAAGATAGGAAAACATTTCATATATGTTTGTATTCATGCTAGCAAAATAATTGAAACTATGGCACTTTCTTATTATAACATGTTCCTAAATGGAAGTTGTGAATAGTGTCCTTGGAACAAATATCACACTTCAAATTTGTTAGAAAACATTCAATCTTTTTATTTAGAAAATCACGATCAAAATAAAAGCTGAATAATTTGCACTTTGAGAGAAATTCCCATGTTAGTACAGTGCGTTTCTATGAGAACTGTGTTATAATAACTGCAAATTTTAGGGATTTTAGTTGCTGGAGAAAGTGCATAAGATCTAAGAAAAATATAGATAGGAAATGATAATAAACCACCAGTGTCTCCTGCTTTCTTATTTAATCCAAAGTGACTAGAAACTCTCTCTCTCCTGCTTTACTGTTTAATTCTAATGAGCAGGTGTCTCTTTTTATGAAGCAGTTGAATAGTAGCTTCATAATAATTATAGGAATATTTCATTTATTCATTTTCTTCAGAGCTTCCCACTGCTCTCTCATTTTTGTGCTTACAGGAAATACACATTACCTGAACAAATAAATTGGTAATATCCAAGCTAATCATTTTGAATGTGTAACAATGAAAAAAAAAAACCAAAACATTATTTGCTGTTAGTATCTGCAAAGGAAAAAAAATTGCTTTGAGTTGAGAGACTATCTCAACTCTGTGTCAGTTTTGTTAATCAGAGAAAAGCAAACTGATAGAACAGGTTTTTGTATGTCACTGACCAAAGCATCTTTGAATAGAAACAATAGCTACGCATAAAAAAATGGTGGTTGAAAACAACTTCAAATGTTGTTTGTGGCCTAAATCTAGGAGTAGCAATGAAATCTCATACCACACACATCTACTCTTAAACCAGGTTGGATTTGGTGAAGCTGTATTTTATATGATGAAAGCCTGAAGAAGCTTGAAGCATGCCACCAAATCTATTGGGATTGGTGGCTTGATTTCATTTCCATCCAGACGCAAGTAGCTCAGTTGAGGTCCGTGAATGAAGGCATCCTGTTCTGCACGCAGTGTGGTGGGACATATTACAGAGATGTTCACATCTATGGAGGCAGAGATAGCATGAGTGATTAAATTGAAACACCAGAGGATCTGGGGATCTAGACCTAGAAGGTACTACAGTGGTCCTAAGAGGCCAAATGACCTTGAACAACAAAAGCTGTAGAGCTACTAACCCATTGTCATACAAGTTACTGTGCATGTCTGTCTCAGGAAAGTAATCCAGAAAATGTGGGAAGTAACAGCTGCAGTCTCCTCGCTCTATGTTCTCCTATATACTCTATCCATACTCTATTTTAGTACGGAACATTATATAGGTAATATTTTTGAAATCAGTGATGTAGTCATGGTAAATAAGATATATGAGTGAATTTCTAAGCTTACAGGTGAGATGACACATGTCTAAATTGCCTTACTATACAAATACGGAAAATGTATTCAATATAATTCTGTATGTGACAATTACAGACATGAATCTCCCTATGTAAATATACTTAGCTGGAGAGAAAGCATTTAACAACAGTTGACATACAGAGGATTAAGATCAAGGAATATCCCATATCTATATACCTGGTATTAGTGAAAGGACAAACACCTGCCTTAGACTAGAGTTCATGGCACCAAAGAGCCATATTGAGAGAATTCTCTAGGCTGAAGGGCTGCTCTACCATCAAAATTCAGAGAATTTTGGAGAAAATGATCTCAAACACCAGTTAATATTATCTCCTTTGAAAAGAGCTCATTTTCAATAGACCCTCCTAATTTGGAACTAGTTTCTTCCCTGTGTCCTATTGGTGCAAGAAAATTCACATTAGAAGTTAGATGATTTTATACTTACATAATGGCCGTGTTGTTCAAACCTTATGTTATCTTTTGAGTTAACTTGAAATAAATAATGGCTCACATTTTGTAAATTAGCTTTGTGATCATAGTGTTTTCACATACATAATCACTTTGTCTTCACACAAACTTTATCAAGAACTATGACTACTCTTTTCACCTGCATATTATAGAAAAAGTGGGCTCAGAGTAACCCTTTCCTCTTACCTGGGATCCTTGCTCAGCAGGGATACTGTGTTTCATTTTGTGCCTTATGTAATATCCTTATAACTCTCAAACATCATATTTAGTAAATCCAAATAACTAGAATATGAGAAACAGGAGTTCTGAATATAAATATTTCCCATAAGTTAGGATTTTTCTCAGGGATTGTGGAGAAGTAAATTATTTAAGTAAATACATATTTTACATCAGATTTCACGTCGCTTGTCATATTCAGGAGAAAAACATGTTTTTCCAAAATTACATAAGAAACGTTGACTGGAAACTTCATATAAAAGTTTTGTTTCTTGGAAACAAAATAACTTTTAATAACTAGATTATGTGAAAAGAAGAACTAACTACATTAAGGATTGTTATAACACTATGTGATTCGATTGTGGTCCAGCAATTCTAACAAAAGGAATCCTTATTCTGCATTTATTTCTTTGAAAAAAACAAAAACAAAACAGGATTAGTGTGTTAAATGAAGGAACATGCCTTCCCTGGGTTTAAGGAGGGAGGCTGGAGCCTCTGCTTCTGGCTCTGCAGTTATTCTCTGTCCTTGAACAGTTACTGTCACCCAACTGTGCTTCATTTTCCTCTTTGAACTTCCCAACAATGTCACACAAGGCTCTTGGGAGGTTTTGTGTTTCTCCAACCATGAGCAAAAAGCAACAATATTGTTACAGAACTGAATGGTCTAGCTCCAAGTCAGAGCCTCTATCCATAAATACCTGGGGTTGAGGATTCCTACAACCTTCACAAAATCAGCTGCTTCAGACACATGCTGACATATAAAAATGAATAAGACATTGGAGTGTATAAACGCAGCCTCTGAAGATCCTCTGCAAAATTTCAGTGAAGGGAGGCACATGCTTCCCTTCTTAATCTTGGTTTCAATGCCAGTCTCGAGTTCCCAGCACCTGCAACTCACATGCAAAAGTCTGTACGGAATCACTTAAAATCACCTTTCTACTGCCCGTTATCTGTGAAGTTTTATTGTGGATTAGGAATGCACACACAGGAGCATAGCCTTCTCAGGAAAAACTCACAAACTTGGGGTCTTCCTTAGGCATTATGATGCTTGATGCGGCTAAACATGCTCCTGTAATGATTTTTCTATGCGGCATCTTTTCCTTCTGACTGGAGTATTAAACAGTACATTGCCTCACCACCAGAGGAAAAAGTACCTGCTGTGGTGGCAGCACGCCATTCGGTTCCAGGATTTTACACTCAAGCACATGGCAACAATAATGAAAACAAAACTGTGATACCCAAGCGTGTTCTCAGTGGAAAGGTGTTCTCATCCTGTACTGGAATGCTTACATGATCATATGCTAAATGGAACATTAGTGACTGGTAACTAGGTAGCCTAAACTTGCGACATTTACCTGGTTTCCTTCCTATAAATCATTTTTATCAACTTTCACTTCAAGACTGTACTTTAAAAAAACTCTTCAGAACCACCCCTTTGTTTTCTTACTAAACTGCTTATACCGAGACTGAAGATGAGTGCTAGGCTGTGTCCAGGAACCCTGTGGAAGGAACATGGAATCGCTCACTTCTGCCACTGGGGCTAGCCTGCCCTAACTATGAACAGGTCAAGTTCATATCAAATGTTTCCAAGAATGTACTTCTGTAACCACTTCGCCAGGCAAAAACACCTTTGCCTCAAAAGACTTCAACCTGATTCATTCTTCACTCTGTAAGTGGATACTAGACCTAAAAGATAGGATAAACATACTAAAATCTGTACACCCAAAGAAGCTAAACAAGAAGGAGGACCAGGGGGAAGATGATCCATCCTCACTTAGAAAGACAAATGGGATGGACATTGCAAATAGGAGAAAATAAGAAACAGGACAGGAGCCTACCATAGAGGGCCTCTGAAAGACTCTACCTATCAGTGTATCAAAGCAGATGCTGAGACTCATAACCAAACTTTGGGCAGAGTGCAGGGAATCTTATGAAAAAAGGGGGAGATAGTAAGACCTGGAGGGGACAGGAGCTCTAGGAGGAGAGCAACAAAACCAAATCTTCTGGGCCCAGGAGGCTTTTCTGAGACTGATACTCCAACTAAGGACCATGCATGGAGATAACCTAGAACCCCTGCTCAGATGTAGCCCATGGCAGCTCAGTATCCAAGTGGGTTCCTTAGTTAAGGGAACAGGGGACTGTGTCTGACAGGAGCTCAGTGGCTGGCTCTTTGATCACTTTCCCCTGAGGGAAGAGCAGCCTTGCTAGGCCACAGAGGAAGACAATACAGCCAGTCCTGATGAGGCCTGATAAGCTAGGGTCAGATGGAAGGGGAGGAGAACCTCCCCTATCAGTGGACTTAGAGAGGGGCAGGGAGGAGATGAGGAAGGGAGGATGGGATTGGGAGGGAACGAAGGAGGGGGCTCCAGCTGGGATACAAAGTAAATAGACTGTAATTAATATAAAATTAAAAAAGAAAGAATAACTTTTCCTCTCCATGGGTAAGTCACTAAGTCCCAGTGATTAGCAGTTCCTCAGGCACTGGTTTCCATTTCAAATAAATGAAGTCTTGAGCAGTGGTGCTAATTCTCAGTGTGTGAATTCCCAGAGCATCAGGACCATCAGGACTTGGGAAGTTGATGAAAATGCAAGATCCATTGATTCCCCAAGTTCCAGTGACTCAGAAACTCAGGGGTGGGTACCACAGCACATACTCTGAAAAGTAAGAAATCCACTCTAATGGGGGATATTTGATTGGTGATGATAGGGAAACCAGGCATCAACTCTTGTGTAATCCCTTAAATCCTATTCTACATATTACTAATGAGGTTAAGGTCACCTTATATACTTTCTTCAACAAACTTAACTCACAGAGTGTCAGGCAAGGTGGCACAAGCCTCTTGTATTCAAGGCCACCTTGAAAGACATGTTGCAGTTTACCCACAGAAGTGTCAGAATCTTTACCAACATGAAGATAGGGCTGTTTACTTTCTCCCCTACGTAAAATTACTAAGATTCAGTTTTCAATCTGGAACTTGAAGATTTGGGCATCTTGTTTTTGTTTGTTTGGTTGGTAGGTTTTTGATTTTTGTTTTAAAGCTGTATCAACAAAGATGTGTAATGAAAACTGAAAATATTTCGCCAATGCTAACAGCTCATTAATTGTGGTTAGGGGACAGCACAGTTGCTACGCCTCAAAGAGACAGAGACTAGGCATAATGGTGGACATGTTAGTCGTAGGCACATCCTTGTAGCTACTTACTTTTAATTTTGTTGTGATCGAGGTGAAGGTGTTGCAGGTTAGCATTGATTCGGGGGAAGTTTGTGAGCTGATTGTGAGACAGCTGAAGGTCTAGAATCGAGGACACATCAAAACCCCTTGATGGGAGGCCTGCATCTGATAGCTTGTTGTGGTTGAGTCTCAGGAAAGCCACTTTAGGAATCACATTGAAATAATTTTCAGGTATTCCTTCAATGGAGTTGTTGTCCAGAAACAGTTGCATGGTGTTGGCTGGTAACCTTGGGGGCATGTTCCTTAGGGAATTCTTGGCCATATTTAGCTGCATGAGGTTCTTAAGACCCTTGAAGGTATCTCTTTGGAAGGCATTATCTAACAATTTGTTATGCTGCAGATCAAGAAGGGTCAGGTTTTCCAGATTGCTGAAGGTCCCCTGAGGGATTCTGGATACCTTGTTTCTAGCTAGTTGTAATTGTTCCAAACTTCTTGGCAGTGGAGAAGGTACCTCCTCTAGCTCATTGTCTTCTAGAAACAAGAAAAGAAGCTTCTTCAGCTGGCTTAAGGCCCCCTTCTCAATCCCATAATTGGTTATTTTGTTCTTGTTTAAGTTGATCCATCTCAGCTGGGTCGCATTGGCAAATGCCTTCTCTGGTATGGTCTCTATCAGGTTGTTTTCCAGGTAGAGGTACCAGATCCTTGAAGGAATGATGGGGATTTCTGTGAGCCCTCTGTTCTCGCAGTATAAGGCAGTAGGAAAACTGGGTGGACAGAAGCATTCTTTGGGGCAGTAGAAGTCATCGTGCACGTCCCAGGCCTCCGGGTCCGGGGCTTCATAGGCCTGTCTCACATTCTGCATCCACACACTGTCTGCTATGAGTAACACCCACAGCATCAAACAGATTGAAGCTGCCATTTGTAACACCTGTAGAGTAAGCAACACACATGATCGATGGTATCTTTAAACATTGGCAGGCATCAAATTAGTAAGTATGGTTTCTTCAGAGGAAAGCTGAGAATATCAGCTGCTCATCCGTACATAGCTACTAATACACATTTACTGAGGACCCACAAAGCACTTTATAGACATTGAAACAAGTTTACAGGCACTTAGTATTCTGGGTTTAACTGAGTCATAGTGAAAGCTGAGAAATGGAAAGCAAAGTTTAGTAACGTTAAGTGTTTTTCCATTTCAAGTTATTAATTCAAGCAACTTTACTGAATCCAGTGCTGTAGTATAAAAGAACAAAATGTGGTCTAATACACGAAGTGGCTGCCCCATGCTGTTCCTAAGAGGTGTGCATCTGCGTGTACTTTTATTTTTAACCTTAAATGAGCATAACATCTGGAGGAGATTTTCCAGGTTCTTTTGGCTCTTGGACCAAAAAAGTGTAGAGATCAAAGGACAATTTAGAAGGTTATGGTGAAGGAAGGGTCTAGGATCTGAAGAAAAATTTGTGATTCATCTCTGGTTCTGAACTTTTCAGGTAAGTTTTCCTTTTGGGAAAGATATGTATAATTTTAAGTACAGGATCAGAATTAAGATGTGCAGTGAAGGAATGGAATTATGAATTCTCTCACATAACCATTATCTCATATAATTCTTATAATCTCTATCATATAGCATATCTCTATTTTGTACAAATGCAAATATATACATATATATATTTGTATATCTGTACACACACACACACACACATATATATATATATATATATATATGTATGTATGTATGTATATGTTCATGCCTGTATGTGACACAGACTTCACATAGATCTAACATATCACTTTTGGTATATGCTTATTCAGGATTATTAATCAGAATAAGGAAGAACAAGAAATATTTAGAACATATGTCAGAAATTCGTCTATATTTATATGTCCGATATATATAGTAACAATGCCCAGTTAAATACATTCTGATGTATGATCCTTTTAGAAGAGAGAAACTTTCCAAGTTGAATAATGCCAGATATAAGTCACAAAAAATACTGTCAAAAATTATGTATAGTAAATATTTATACATAAGCTTATAGCATATGTGTTACATATACATAATAAAATTTTCAGTTTCCTCAGGGTGCATTTAGCTGAACCGACTAACAATAAGCACAAACACATTTTACTGATTTTACTAGGGACATGAAGATAAAATCTTTCACTAATTTGGTCTTTCGTTTTTTCTATTAAATCTCAGAACTGCCCCTGCAAGCTGTCAGACTCCCTCTGATTGCAGAATGCTTCTCTGGACTACTTCCAACAGAGACAAGTTAATTTTTTTTTTCAGAATAAAGATTTGCATTAGTTATTGAAATTTTAACATTGCAACTTTCGAATCAGAACTCTGAATTCCAAACTAAAAGTTGTAAAAAGTACAAAATAATTTACCTTGCTTTCCAGGAATATACCGTTGAGTCCTGTGGCTGGGTTTAAGTTAGCTAAATGGGGGTAAAAGAAGGAAAAAAAATTGTTTTGAGTTTATGCTAGTAAACCTCCAATCAGTAAAAAAAAAAAAAAAAGAAAAGAAAAAAAAAAAAAAAGAAACGTATGGTGGCTGGTCACCATGAAGACCTTTTGATGTATTGTTTCCACTCTGACAGGCTTCAGGATGGCTTACCTCAGCTTTCTTGGATCATCTCCTTCCTTTTCTATTGGTCACTGCTGCTAACAGTAATGGACTGACCCAATCTTTGCTGTCGGGTTTTTAGAGTCCTCCGGAAGATGCTGGCTCCAATTTCAACCCCTCCAACAATTGCAGCACCTTGTCACCTATGTAGCTTAGCATATAAAATTTTTGCTTTTAATTACAAGAATAATTTTTTTCAATAGTCAAGACAATTTTCACTCTTACTTCATAATTCCATGGATGTTAAAATGTACTGATGTATAGATGTGAACCACCAGCCAGCAACTGAGAAATGTTAATTGTACCAAAAACAAAAAGAAATTTCAAAATGCTTTTTTTTTCCTCTAGATGATCTTTTTAAACAATTAAACATGAAAGTAAAGGCCAATATTTTCTGTTCATGTGGACATATTTTATTCATTTCTGATCTAAAACAGATGCTGGAATGTTTCAATTAAGAGAAACATATATTTGAAAGAATTAAAATAGCTATAGCTGATTTAGGTAATGAATTTGGTAATTACCTTTGTTTCACAGAATCAAGTCTGGTATCTCTGTTCTCTACTCCTTAATAATAACTTTATGTGACAATTAAAATTGGATGTCTTTTACTATTATATTTTAACACATGTTTTGCATTTGGTGACTTAAAAGGCATTCTGGTGCACTGATTTTTTTTTTCTTTAACTTTTGTCTAAGTTCTATTATATTCAAGGGGAAAATCGGTAATTCTATTGATGGAGACTGCAAACACAAATTTGTTTTATTTAGGCTCTATTCTGTTGACTGTAGTCTTTTTGTTTGAGAAATATATGTTATCCGGTGATGAAAGGCTTTAATGAGTATGAGCCACAACACTGCTCACTGAAGTTGTGTCAAAGATAGGGGTTGCTCTTGTGGAAGGACCTTTCTGAACCACTTCTTGCCATATTCCTGGCCTTAAGTGGATCAATTAGAACTCAGTTTTTATCATCTGCACAACAAGGAACTACTTCAAATGATTATAATTGTTTTAAATATGTGAAAATACAAATACCAGCCTTTCTTTGGTATTTGTGCTATACACCCAACTTCTAAATGCTTGCATAGATTAAATAAAAGGTATGATTCACACATACCTCTTCATATTCCTATAGATACACTCAGGACATACTTTTTAAAAATAAAGTGTTTTTTGTAGTTTTTATACAACTCCATTTTTCTATTCTCAGTTTCCTTTTCTTTTCTTTTTTTCCTTTTTTTTTTTCCAAATTCATGGGACATAAGTGAAATGTGATTTACAAAGTCCCAATTTTCATTTGGAGGCAAACTGATTTAAGTTGTTTCTAAACTTATTATTAGCCAAATATCTCTATGTGTCCAATAGGAAAATCAGCATATTTGACTTTGTTCTCTAGTTTATTTTCCATTTATCATTTTACTCTTTATCTACTTACCAAAATGTGGTTTCTAATTCTGTCAGTTCTCTTAAATTGCTCTGAAACATCAGCAGCAGTCTTCATAATCACTAATTTATTGAACTCTTCATGACTCACTTACTTGACTTGGGATATTACCAGATCACCTAGTTCATTAAATGTCCCTCTAATTTGATGACATCATACTTTCTTGCATATTTTTTTCTTATCATTAGATTCCTTTTGTCTGCTTCTAGAGGCTGTGATCCTTTTTTACAACATTTTTTTCTTGATTATTATTATTTAGTACAATGTATTCATTTTGTATCACAGATATAGCCCCCTCCCTCATCTCCTCCTGTTCCCACCCTCCCTTCCTATTTTATGTCCCTCCCCTAATCCACTGATAGGGGAGGTCTGTCTGACCCTAGCCTATCAGGCCTCATCAGAACTGTCTAGATTATCTTTCCCTGTGGCCTAGTTACCCCCCCCCTTTTAACACTTTGTATAATTATTAAGGTGTTTCCAAGCATTGAGATGTTCTGAGTTTCAGCCTGCTGTCCTGGGGCTTTTCCTGATGTATACACAGTTAATTCTACTCTCCAAGTCTGCCTTTCTAGTATAATTGCTCTTGAACAAGTTATCTCCAAAATAGCCTTGAAACAAAACCAGCACTACAGGATGTGTTTTTCTACCTGCTAGAAAGAAATGATAACTGTGGATAATTATTTTTTTCTTGGTCTCTTTACATATGAATTGAGACTAATACAATGGTTGATTTATAATAGCAAAACTAACCATCTGATAGACTGGCAATGGCATTTAGATAAGTCAACCTTTAAAAATGGTCAGGACATTCTATGGATTAATAAAATTAGACATAGTAGGGCTACTGTTCTGACAGTTCAGTGGATGACCATACCTTCCCACCTCAAAGTGGTTTTGTTGCTGTTGCAAACTGAGGATAATTTGCCTAATCACAACTCTCAGGACCTATCTGAAATAAAGATAGGCCGCAGTTGCTTCATTGGTAGCAGTGACTATCATAGGGATTTTCCTTTATAATTTACATGGATGCCTTGTGTCTAAATTAAAGTGTTTTCAATTGAATCTCATATCATGAACATTTATTTACAATTAGCTTTAACATCAAAGATGTGGATTTTCTTCATTATGAAGATTATTCAAATTTTCCACCGAGCCTACTAAACTCTGATTAGATCAAAGTCACAGCACACCCTTTGTTGAAATACTGTTGCTCTGGATACTTTTATGAGTAATGCAACCCTGAACCTGGGCCTGTAGGATCAGTGTACTCTAGAGATTCATTTTGCTCTTCTCCATGTTCTAGATTTCATCTTCCAAGCTAGTTGCCTGAGTACTTCCTCCATCTATTTTTATTTCTTTGAAGAGCTTACATGCTTCAAAATATACTTATTCAAGCTACCCAGTTCCCCGACATTTTGAATGGGCAGAATACTAATGTGAAGTAATATTTCTGTAAGGTTTTGGAGATGTTCAAAGAAGCATAATAATGAATTTCAATAGTTTACGTCATAAAATATTAATATTTTTTTCTTCTTCAAAATTTGCTCTCTTTCTGTATGAAAAAAAATTTCAGATTTTTCATAATATGTTAGCTCTTCGAGAGAGTCTTTGAGCCTGGGGGTTCATATTTATGCAGACTAAAGAGTTTTTTCCCCCCTATTCTTTTTTTATGAAAGTCTCAGAAAAATAAAACTTCCTGGCCAAAGTATAGAGTTCTCTTATCACATATGTTCAAATTCCTGTCTTAAAAGTCATTATGTTGTGTGTGTGTTTCATACCGGGGGAGACCTGCTCTTTTGTTAAAGTAAATGAAAAAGGAGTGGATAACAGAAGAGAGTGAGAGGG